ACCAGAGTATTCTCTTGTTGTTTTGTTGATAGCTTTAATACCAGAGCATTCTGTTCTTGGGTTGTTGATAGCTTTAAATACCAGAGTATTCTCTTGTTGTTTTGTTGATAGCTGTAAATACCAGAGCATTCTGTTGTTGGGTTGTTGATAGCTGTAAATACCAGAGCATTATGTTGTTGTTTTGTTGATAGCTTTAAATACCAGAGCATTCTGTTGTTGGGTTGTTGATAGCTGTAAATACCAGAGTATTCTCTTGTTGTTTTGTTGATAGCTGTAAATACCAAAGCATTCTGTTGTTGGGTTGTTGATAGCTGTAAATACCAGAGCATTGTGTTGTTGTTTTGTTGATAGCTGTAAATACCAGAGCATTCTGTTGTTGGGTTGTTAATAGCTGTAAATACCAGAGCATTGTGTTGTTGTTTTGTTGATAGCTTTAAATACCAGAGCATTCTGTTGTTGGGTTGCTGATAGCTTTAAATACCAGAGCATTTTGTTGTTGTTTTGTTGATAGCTTTAATACCAGCGCATTCTGTTGTTGGGTTGCTGATAGCTGTAAATACCAGAACATTCTGTTGTTTTGTTGATAGCTGTAAATACCAGAGCATTCTCTTGCTGGGGCTTCCCAGAATTATAAACAACAATGCATTCTGTTACAGGGCCATCCACAGCTGTTAACATTAATGCCTTCTGTTGCCAGGGTTACCCTTCAGTGTTCACATGAAAGCATTCTTTTGCTCGGGTTTCCTAACAGAAATAAGGAAAATATCACTGTAATTGATTCATATATGGACTTCATCAGCTGACTTTGATAGTTGTAATTACTAGCCACACTGAACAAGCTGAAGACATATGGATTTCACCATAATGCAAGTGATGAATGATCAACGGGCTGGTATCATATTTGGTTCGATTGAGTCACTTCACAGGACACTGATATTTTCTGCTATATGTTTAGGAAAAGCTAGGACATGAGAATTTCCAAACAAAATTTATTATCTGTCCTTAAATGAACAGTCCTTTACCAAAGGCAAAGACCGTAATTCCCTGCGGATCGGCAGTTATTCTGTAAATAACAAAGACTAGGGCGCCATTAAGGAATGTATAAAGAGATGAAATAACAGTGTTGTGATTCTTTGAAGATAATCTTTATAATCAGATCAAACCATGCAGTTCACTTTCATGTCTTTTCATGAACAAATTTAAGATATGAATTAAAAAAAATGAAGAACAAACTTAATAATGCCATTTATTTGTTATGCTGCTTTTTTATATCTGATAACCTTGACCTCTGGAACACCTAGGTGGCCTTGTGGATAGTGTGTTCGCCTGGAGTGTTGGATCCAGGGGATCAAGTTCAAAGATGGTCTTCGGCATGAATTCTGCATGAATTTAGCATTAATGAGATATAGTGGGGCAGTGGCGTAGCCAAGTAGTTTAAGCGTCTGTTCACATGCCGAAGACCCGGGTTCGATTCCTCATATGGATACAATGTGTGAAGCCCATTTCTGGTCTCCCCCCGCCATGATATTGCTGGAATGTTGCTAAAAGCAGCGTAAAAGGAAACTCACTCACTCACTAATAGTTGGTAGCTCAAAACTGTAATATGGTATTTAGGTGTCCAAAACAAACTGGGTTGGTATGTCAGCAGGCTGTTTGAGCTGCAGCAATCTAGACGTTCCAAATCATTCAAAACTTAACAGGACACATATTTAATTTTTTTCTCAAGGGTCTTTGAGAGAGGCTAGCACTATGAAGTCTTCTGCACACACACATACACGCATTTCTACTTAGAAGTGAAATTGCCTGTCAAGATCCGGTTAGAATTGGTCTTCATCAAGCAATGCTTGTCGTAAGAGGCGACTAACGGGATCGGGTGGTCAGGCTCGCTGACTTGGTTGACATCATGTGCCAGTTGCAAACATGATTACTCATGATATCAATCACTGGATTGTCTGATCCAGAGTTAATTATTTACAGACTGCTGTCAAGGAGCTGGAATATTGCTGGGTGCCGCATTAAACATCAGACTATAAGAGTAATTGTTTTGAACACAACATTAAACCTCATTTCAACTGACCTCCAGGTCAACTTGACCTCTGCTTATTTACATTATATAAATGTCATGTTTCGGTTTTCTCATTGGATCATAAGATCACGAGAATTAGGTTATCAACTAATTCTGTCATCAACTCAAGGTCAAGGACAGGTCTAATAATCTTAGACTTATATAACATAATCACTTTTATATTCATAAAATATTCGAAAGTCACTTCAAAGACACTCATCAAAGTGTGAAATCATGAAGAGTGTCATCATCTCCTAATCAAACGTTCTTTGGTCTTCAAAAGACGATTTTCAGCTGAGACGGATGTGATGTGATTGTGAGCTGGCCTGTAATTTGTAATTACTGAAAAGGCTGGCATTTGGGTAATTTCATTGTCCAGCAATCTTGTAAGCCTTCATGATAAACTGTGCCAAAAGCCCTTAGGGATTCAGGGTTAGAGTGGGTCCCCAGTATCTAGTGCTGGTCATAGGAGGCAACCAAATGGATCAACTGGTCAAGTTCAGTGAGTGACCTAGTCCATCTCACAGTCCCTGAACTGCATTATTGACCCTTCCACCAAGCCCCTTCTACAATGCTGAAGCCCTGAAAGAAGCAAGTCTAGATTTCCTCGGGTTCAGGTTCTGAATATACCATCTCACTGGGGCTCCTTTTCAATTTGAATGGGTGAGTGAGGTTAGTTTTACTCCGCACTCAGCAATATTTCAGCTATATGGCGGCAGTCTGTAAATAATCGAGTCTGGACCAGACAATCCAGTGATTAACAGCATGAGCATCGATCTACGCAATTGGGAACCGATGACATGTGTCAACCAAGCCAGCGACCCGATTCTGTTAGTCACTCTTATGACAAGCATAGTCGCCTTTTGTGGCAAGCATGGGTTGCTGAAGACCTATTCTACCCGGATCTTCACGGGTCTTTTCAACTTGAAAGGAATTGTTTGTTTTTATCAAAATTATATATATTTAGAGACTAAGCATTAGTCAAGGACTGACCTGGCTTAGTGTTTTTGAACTGGATCACTGACCAGAACCTGTTTCATACTTCACAGGCTGACATACAGACAGAATATTTCTTTGAGTAGCAACTAATAATTTTTTTTTTTACAAAATGAATTCTTAAAATTTTGACAAAGTAGTATAAAGCGTGGTTTGCTTGACCTCCATTAATCTTTAATTGGCCATACATATGGAATTTTGCTGAGTGTGAGTGAATGTGTGAGTTTAGTTTTACACAGATTTTAGCAATATTCCAGCAATATCACAGCATGGGACACCAGAAATGGGCTTCATACATTGTACCCATGTGGAGAATCAAACCCGGATCTTTGATGTGGCGACCGAATGCTTTAACCACTAGGCTACCCCACCGCCCCATGCTGAGTGTGGTATTAAAACAAAAATTAAAGCCTTAAAATTAATAGAGGACTTTAAATTGACATGATTTTAAGGAGGAGGTCTGTTAAGTATTGACAAGAGTTAAAGGGGTACTTTTTTCACCAGTCTTGCACCACTTTTTGTAAACTGTGTCAAGACATTTATATTGATCTGCAACATCTACCAACTCTAATCTAAAGATAAAGAATAATAAATGTGGACAAAATGTTTTTTGTATTCACTTGAATGGCAGTTAGAGTATTCTTAAAAAATAGGTTACGCTGCAAGATTGATGAGACAGCATTAGCAAGCACCAGGAAAAATATTCTAATTAAAGAAAAAACAACAACCTTGAAATTAAACAGTGGTGTATTCAAGCAAGAGAAAAATACAATTGACTGATTATCATGCCATCAATGTAACAATGCACGCTACACGTTTCAGAGACATGTGATGTTGATTATATTAGTATTTTCGTACATCCAGGGGGTCTGTGTGTGATTGTCTGCAGTAGATGACAACATTAAATCATGTAGAATGTGATGTCTATATTTTACTTTATGCGTTTAGCTGTAAAATAATGACCAATTTTATGGATAACAACTTCTTTTATTTCAGGAACGTGACGTCTCATTACAGATTCTTGTACTGTTCTCAAGTAGGAACCGCTTAAGAAATAAAAGAAGTTGTCATCCATTAAATTGGTCATTATTCCGTGGTTTCAAATGCAGACAGACAGACAAAATGCAGCTGTAGATATATGGTGGAAGTTTGTCAAAAACAGGGAATTACCTTGAGTCCTGTATTTGAGTGTCACTGGAACTCATACTCTTAATTTTCAGGGGTCCTGGACAACAAAATGGGGGTCCCAGACACTTAAATATTATTATTAATACTGTTATGGTATTGTGTATCATGATCATCACATTGTTACAGTAATTAAATTACAAATGATACCATAACCCAGCTAGTAGCAAACTCAGTGATACCTTATTGTCACTTGATTGGAAGTTTTACAAAAAGTGTTTGGACTTTTTCTGAGTCCCTGTGGACGCTCTAATAAATTTTGTTGCGTCCATTGTCAAATTTATGCGTCCTGTAAATTCTTGCAATAATCACGTCTGGAACAGACAATCCAGTGATCAACAGCATGAAATTGATCAATGCAATTGGAATACAATGACATGGGTTAACCAAGTCAGCGAGCCTGACCACCCGATCCCGTTAATAGCCTCTTATGACAAGCATGGGTTGCTGAAGATCAATTCTCACACTGATCTTCACAGATGTTAGATATCTTAAGAAGTGTATCATCTGTATTTGGTTTGTGACTCCTCGCAATGTTTCTATGCCTCTCAACCTCAAGCAGGTACCATAAAAACAGATTACGAACAAGTTAGAAAATATGGCCACTTCAAGATACCAGATTATCTCTTGCAAAGAAAGCCTCATAAACACATCCCAAACGTGAGATTTGCGTCTCTCCCCCGAAGCACTAATAATGGACAGGAAATTAAAATCTGCCAAAAAATATTTCATAATTTCACTCTTGACATTTCAGGATTCTAACGAGGACAGCGTCTCTCAATCAAGTTCTCATGTGGACGGAAATCCTGCGGCTCCATCACATGTCACCAAGCCAAGTCCGCAAAAACGCAAAAATCGTAAATCCAGGCAAGAATGGGAGATTATAGAGGGACTGAGAGATGGACAAAAGTGTGCAGACAAACCGGAGAGGCACTCCAACTACTTGATGAAGAGACGCAAGTGGCCGATGAAGGGCTGGCACAAGGTGAGGAATTTATGGAAGAGTGGTGAAGATCCTCAAAGATTTACACCACTGAAACCAGTTTAGTGCTGATGTGTTGAATCAGGCCGGCACTAATATGTTAAACCAGTTTAGGAGCTGATCATGCAAACTAAATCACTGGTTATGTGTAGAACCACTTTGAGGGATTTACTGTAACAGCATTCAATTTTAACTTTATGTGAAACTAGTTTAGGTTCTAATATGTATGCTGATGTTTGTGCTGGAATTGTGAAACCAGTTAAGGTAATGAAATGTACAACCATTCTAGGTTATTTTATTTGGAAACAGTATAGTTTGAATATGTAAGATTTTGGTGCTGAAATTGTGAAACCAGTTTTGGTGCTAAATGTAAAATTAGTTTAGGTGCCGAAATGTAAAACCAGTTCGGGTTTAGAGATGTGAAACAACTCAAGGTAATTTAATCGAAAACTTTATAGCTTCAAATATGTAAGACTGGTTTTGGTGCTGAAGTATATAGCTAGTTTTGGTGTTGATATTGTGAAACCAGTTTAGGTAATAAATATAAAACCAGTAAAGATGATTAATGTAAAATCAGTTCAGGTGCTGAAGTGTAAAACCATTCAAGATAATTTAATGTGAAACAGTTTAGCTTCTGATATTCGAGTCTGATTTAGGTACTGAGGTGTAAAACAAGTTCAGGTGGTAAAACAGAGGAATCAGTTTCAGTGTTAAGGTATAAAACCATTTGGATATTAAAATGTAGAATCAATTTCAGAAATGGAAAAGAGTTGCGGTGTAAAGATGTAAATGAACATTGTTTGTCATCTTCATCAATTATTCATCACATTGTGTAAACCAGTTCAAATTTAATATATTAAACGAGCTTGATGCAATGTAAAAAACTAATTTGTAAAACCAGTTTTTATGTGATGAAATGTGAAACCAGTTTCAATGTTGAAATGTAAAACCTATCGTGAAACTTGATTGACATGACATGATCCTGAATCATTCATGAAAAACGCTTGCAGATATGAAGCCTTTTGAAGCCAAAGGTGGTTTCACAAACATTAAAAAGAAAATGTACTTCATGAAATAACCAGTCTGCTTGAAGCAATATTTATATTTCTCTGTGAGATGAGCTGAAGTCAACATCTCATTACCATCACCCTGGTGTTAATATTGCAGCTTGTTTCACCTCGAGAACAAGTCAATATTGTGTGCGTCAAAACTTGATGGAGAGGACATCAATAATTCAGGATACGTCGGCAATGTTTTTGGCATGGAATTGTTGTATCTACAGCCTTGTTGACACATTAAACAGTCCTTTTGGTATACCGTTATCAACAATATGTATAGCACCCCCTGTGGCAGTGTCAGTTCCCCAAACACCCCACCCCCATTCTCTGGTTCTATACTTATCAAGTATGCTTCACTTTGTTGAGGAGCGTTTTTATCGCATTGTTTGAAGGACTTACTATTATGAGCTTGTTCATGTTCTTGTTCTCGAAGGATTTTTGGTTGTCTATTCCTCTGCTTCAAAACGTAGTAGGCTTAACAATATTCATTTCAAAACCTTGAAATGCTTGTTTTAATGCCTGAAGCTGGGATTTGAAACAGGGCTTTCAAAACTTAGCTTTCAAAATGATTGACTCAGAGGTTTTCTTGACCCTGCGAGGAATCTACTTCAGTAGGTAATGGGTTTATTCTCCTGGTTAGAAGTGGTCCCCAGCAACCCCATATTATAACAGGGTGTATATCATGGAGGTTCCATTTTGGCCATTTTCCATTATAAGTTGTTCACTGGTCACGAGGGGGGCATGGGTTGATGTACCCTTGTTGGGGCATAAACAAACTCGACGGTACATCAACCCATGGGCCCCGAGGACCAATTTATATTTCCCGAACACCTTAATGTTAATTTTGAATTGTTTGAAGCATGGTTAAAATCTTTTTGTAGGCATCGCTAGATTTTGCTGACAAGAAAAACAGATTTAGAGTTATCTCCCTTCCATCGATTTGCATTTGCAAAACATCGGTAATTTTCGTACATCATACGTGATTCAAAGTCATTCGAGATAAAGAATTACTACCACGAAGTACCAAATGAGTTGCCAATGACAGCGGGGTACATTGAAATGTTACTCGCTTGTAAGCGGGGTACATTGAAAATAATAGAAGAGTGCTCAGCCAATCAGAAAGCGACATTTATGTGTGAGGTAAGATAATAGGATATATCCCAATTGTTTTCACAAGAGCTCATTGCTATTACTTTATCAGCCATTGATGTTTATATTTCTAAACTTTATTTCAGAGATTCTTTGTCCTGGAGAAAGGAATACTCACCTACGCCAAGTCCCCTTATGATGTAAGTATTAATGGTTTTCTATGTGCTTCATAAAAATGAAACAACTATCAAGAGGATTGCAATTGACCAAGATTACTAAACCAGAGTTAGACAGTAGTGTGTAGTTAATATGTGACATTGGTCCCATTGATCGACAAGGTCATAATAAGTGGTGACAGGTGACGTTGGCTCATTGCCTGTCATCGTAGCCGAAAAGAGTTTTGCTTATAACGTCAATCATTGGTTTTCTGGTCCTGACTGTTGTATATAGGCTGATGTCACATGCATGGACAATGCAGCGTAAAACAACAAACATTCTATTCTCTTCCAGTAGGGTAGCCAGGTGGTTATGGTGTCAGTTCATTACACTGAAGGTGCTGGTTTGAATCCCAAGCTTGATGGAATGTACTTGGTGTCTCTGCATTGATGTTGTCTGTTGCTGAAGGAATGTAAAATCAAACTCATTAACTCCAAGATAGACATGGCAATAGGATGTTTTTACTTCCCAAAATAGAATTGTAATTACTCTCTGTTAAATTATGCATCTTCAAGCAGTGCATTCCAGAATCATGCATATCTTAGCACAGGTAATAATCATTAAACAGATTGTCAGTACAGGTGTACTGTCGTCAGTGTTTTTCTGTACCGGTACTGAGTTACAGAGAGATTTGTGGTGCAGGATTAACTGTAAATTAATGTGTAAACAAGGTAAACATTATTAACATGCATTTAACAAACATAAAAGAGGTATTGCTCTTTGGCTGAGGAAACATACCCTATATTACGTATTTCCTCTAATAACGGCTGGATCTCTAATAAGCGTAGGACCTCTAATAAGCTCCAGGGGTAAAGCAGCTCACAAACAAGTAGATAGAATAAGCGCAACAGCGCCAGGCCTCTAATAAGCGCCGTGGTGGAACTCCGTTGATACCTGGGCGCTTATTGGAGGAATTAAGGTTCTTTCTTTTGGAGAAAATAGGACGTTTTTCATTTAGACCAATCAACTTTTATTTGTTTTGACCAGTAAGACTGACATGAGTTTGAGACCCAATCTGTTGTTCTGTGTGAATATTTGCATAAAAAGATGGCATTCTGTTTCTGGTTCAGAGACGAGCATGTCTTTGCTAACTTGCTCGTGTCATTGAGTATGTCAGTTCTCAGAGATGCAAGTAGACTAATGCTTAGTCTCTGAATATATATTATTTTGAAGGTGTCGTCGTCAGCGGCACTGGAATTTCTTTTTGAATGTATTTTTGTATTTTACTGGAAATAAACTCTGTCTGTCAATAATTTTGATAGTAATCCTTAAAATGAAAAGGAGCCCCAGTGAGATGGGAGATCTTGAACCTGAGGAAATCTAGACTTGCTTCATTTAGATCTTTAGCATTCCAGGGAGGGCTAGGCTGTAGGGAAAGTAATGTGGTTAAGGGACTGTGAGACAGCCTAAGATACAAGGTATAAGGCTTCATTAATAACCGAATATGCATGATTTAAAAAATGTTTATAAATCATTATGAAAGTTTTCAGCTGTATACTAATTAGACCTGTTTCAACTTTTGCATATAATATTTTTTTGTATTATTATTATAGGATATTTATATAGCGCACATGTCCACGCAATTAGTGCTTGCTCAAGGCGCTGATTTTCTCCATGAATGAATCAGGCTAAAAGATGATATCAGATTATTCAGTTTTTTCTTTATAATTTAAAACAAGCAAAAATTTGACCCAAGGTGATGTTTCGGCAGGCAAAAACACAGTCCTCTGGCGAAATATTCATCTTGGATCACAGCCTTACTCATTGTTAGATTGTTTCTTGAAGATTGAAAAAATCAGCCTCTTCACAGAGTTTTTCATCTTGTCCAGAATATACAAATATCCGAAAGTAAAAGACAAGAAACCGGCCAGTCAAACATTTCCAGTAGTCTAAAAAAGGCCCATGTTTGATTGGAAAGTGACAAAGTTTGAAATATCAAAATTTGTCTGAATATGTTCAGGGTGTGGTTTTGACATTGAGTCCAATCATTGGTTTCTGTGTCTTGGAACTGTTTCTAAAACAAGGTAGTTCAAGTTTTAAAATGATTGAATATCCGAATAAAAATTTGCAGTGATTTTTTCCTCTTGATTTTAGTGGTAACACTTCCTTGATAAGATCTGGTGTCATCACTCCTGTTTAATTATGTTACAAACCTTGGGTATGGATCAAGTAATAGCATTTCAGTTCCAATTATTCTTCCACGCTCACACAAATCACATCATGAACAGCCAAAATACTCTCTGTGGACAAGAAACTCTGTAACGACAACAGAGAATGGGAATTTTATATCTTGATCTGATTAGAACCGAATTCACAATGTCTGACTCATGATTGTTAAGTTTTATCGGACATTTCTGAAAAACAACCAACACGTAATACATCAGGAACAGAAGGCACAAATTAGTTAGCTCACCTGAATCAACTTCAGATGAAGTTGTATCGAGTTTGCTTTCATCCATTGTCCAGCGTTGGCTCGTCACGCCGAAGACCCGGGTTCGAATCCCCACATGGGTACAATGTGTCAAACCCATTTCTGGTGTCCCGCACTGTGATATTGCTGGAATATTTCTAAATGCGGCGTAAAACCAAACTCAGTCAGTCAGTCAGTTCATCCATTGTCTGAATCAGTGGCATCATTGTTGCCAGGTTATATGACCGTCTCCATGGCAACCACTTGACCAATGAAACAGAATCCTGGAGACTTCTTTACAGTGACACCTAATTTTGCTCAGGAGGGATGACATTGATTTTAAAATGAAGTAAAATGTGTGTAGTTAGTAATCGGTCTTGACATGTTTTTCGTGATATTTTATAATTAGCTTGTGTTTTGAATGTGTTCTTAAATTCTGGCAGTTCACTCTTATCTCTGTCAACATGTTGCCCTTTGAAACTGCCAGGCTGATGAGTGAGTGAGTGAGTTTAGTTTTATGCCGCTTTTAGCATTATTCCAGCAATATCACAGCAGGGGACACCAGAAATGGGCTTCACACTTTGTACCAATGTGGGGAATCAACTGGTCTTCGATGACCACTAGGCTACCCCACTCCCTCCCAGGCTGATGAAGCTGAGCACTTATGATTATAATTTTTAAAATTTTATGAATGTATAGAATTTGAATTTTTATATTAGTTCTCAGTATAATTTGATATACCAATGCTGACATCGTACTTCTTTCATGACATTGGGAACGTTTTAGCTTCTTACCCAGGTGAGCTACAGGGACGTTTTTTAAGTACTTCCTGATGCTCCTGTCTTACTCGTTCAAGTTCCACATGATTTCTGAATCTTCCCTGATAGTTATATCTGCTTCCTGTTCTCTGATTACGTATCGATTTACAAGTTCCATCCGAGTATAATTCCTCGTAATTTCCTGGTAAGCAGGACAAACTGCCTCAGCTGAAGTTGATGAGCCTTGTCCAGGTTGACTGGTGGGACGGATTACCAATACATGCCATTGATTGACGAGTCATCTGTAATTAGGTTGTTATTGTGGTGGTCAAGTGGTTGAGTATTACACCGATAGGCTACAGGCGCCTGGGTGGTCAACTCATTAAGATATAATCATTAGTGAGTGAAATGGGTTTAAGGCCACTTTGAGCTGTTTTCCAGTTATATCGGTATGTCAGCCTAATTATTGTGGAAGGAAAATCCACTGATAGGCCACAGGTGTCTGGTAGGTCAAGGTGCCGCTGTACAAAGTGATCTTAGTGCTAAGGTGACCGTAACTCCCATGCCATAACATAGACTTACGACTTAAGATGATCAGAACACCCATGGCATAACATTGACTTAGACTTATGATTGATGTAGTGCTAAGGTGATAACATAGACTTACGACTATACCATATGCATAACTTAGACTTCAACTGACATAGCGAGTATTAAGGTGATCGTAACTCCCATGCCATAACATAGACTTACGACTGGCATAGCTTAAGGTGATCGTAACTCCTATGCAATAACATAGACTTATGACTGGCGTAGTCCTTAGTAAGATGATCGTAACTCCCATACTTTAACATAGACTTATGACTGATGTAGTGCTAAGGTGATCGTAACTCCTATACCATAGCATAGACTTACGACTGGCATAGCGCTAAGGTGATCATAACTCCCATGCCATAACATAGACTTACGACTGGCATAGCGCTAAGGTGATCATAACTCCCATGCCATAACATAGACTTACGACTGGCATAGTGCTAAGGTGATCATAACTCCCATACCATAACATAGACTTATGACTGATGTAGTGCTAAGGTGATCGTAACTCCTATTCCATACTATAGCATAGACTTACAACTGGCATAGAGCTAAGGTGATCGTGACTCCCATGCCATAACATAGACTTACGACTGGCATAATGCTAAGGTTACTTTGAACAATGGCACCCTTGTCATTAAGAGATAATCACAGCTTTGATTTTTTAGTATGTTAGTGATAAGTGAGTTATAATGTAGGCCTCTTTGAACAGATCTTTTAATTCCGATGCATAACTCAGCCTGATTTTTTATTGAAGGATATGAATGAGTATGGTTTTCTTTTACTATTTACAGATGCTTTTATTTTCTAATGTATCCATGGAAACGGGGACTTAGTCTTAAAAGGTACCAGAAATGGGCTTCACCCATTGTACCCATAGATGGGAAAGCAGACCCAGGTCTTTGGCTATTTGCAGAGCTTTGAACACTTTTACCACTTTCCATAAGGGCTCCCCCACCCTGTTGAAGGATAGCTCAAAGTGATACAGATCTTTAATGTGAACTGCTTTATTTAGAAAGCCATGAGCTGAAATACAATATTGACAAAATTAGAATGAATTTGGATGAACTTGGATTCGAACCTATGATCACATGTTCCTGGTGTGCTCAGGGGCTGCAACTCTGCTCAAGTTGTAGAGGCTTATATAATAAAGCCACTGATTCCTCCTTTTGAAATTTGAAGCACCTTTTGTTAGGATGAGTTAGACAATTGATTCCTCCTTTTCAATTTGAAGCATCTTTAATATCAGTTTTTAATTATCTTTGAATGTTGATGATGTCTTTTTAGTCTTTTATCAAGTTTAGTGAGTATATCTCTCCCAGATAGAATTTTGGTATTCAGAAATGGAGACAATGGATCAGAAATATTATTTCTTGATCATCAAGATTTAACTATGTATCAATGTATATTGTTTTAGCTAAAATATGTGGTTTAGAATTATTTGTATGATTTGATAAAGAAATTGGATGCTGATTTAAAGTTTGGTTTGCGTAGGTAGTATATAGTGCCACAATTGGCTTTGCTGAGTTACATCCCTTTAGTTGTCTGGATCTGCTGATAGTGGTGTCCATGATTTGCCTTCACTATGGTCTTTGAATGTCTGCACCATAGCTGTGCATACTTTTACCATATATCATTATCAATAATAGAAATAATCAATTATGAATGATTATTCAATGAACAGTGCTTATACAGTAGGAACGTGACCTTTTTCACATTTTTAGTCGGAAACGATCTAAATTGAAATGGCTCGTTTGACCCATTTGTCAATAAGATTCATCAAATATTTAATTCTCCAAACTGTTTTAATCATCTGAGGAGTAATTCTTTTAAGCCTTCCTGGGTTCCCAGTTACTCTTGCCACCATTAGTGTGATGTCCAATTTCCCACTAGCCACTTTTAGTCCGGTAAAAGTCTAGAAAAATTGTGTATGGTCCAACACACCTTAAAATCCATATATTAACAAGTTACAGTATACTTGAAATGGTGCCAAGAAACAGTTTTGGGCATGAAGACAAGGGAGTGTTTGGCACATTTATCTGTGGGCTGTGAATTATCTATCAAATCAATTTGGGTTTGTAGTTGTGCGTTTGGAGATTCTGGTAAGCAAATTTTATTTCACAATGTCTTACATTTATTGACCGACAGGGAGGAGGAGATCCTTCAGAAATCTAGATGGAAATTCATGACAGGCACACTGGAAAATTATTTTACCAGTCTTTGGAAACAAACACAGATTGTTTGCTTTATGCCTGAACTAAAAATTGGTCGAAGGAAATTCTGTTGTACATGATGCAAGTCTACAAGAATAAACCGTTTTCAACATTGTGTTCCTAGGTCCAGAAAGGCAAATACCATGGTGTGATAGACATCGGTCTGGCGGTATTGACCTACAAGCGTCCAGGTCACAGGATCGACATTGATGCTGAGGAACAGATCTACCATATTAAGGTACGCTGGAGCCTGGCTAATAGCTTACCTGCTTCAAGCAGACTGTTCTTGTAAATTAACGTTTTTGATTTGGCCAATATCATTGATAGATTGTAAGAAAGATAGTTTGTAATTTGAGTTATTAGACTGATTGATCATGAAAGTTGATAATCATTACTTTTGAGTTATGTTTGGATGATGAAATCTTATTCCTGCGAAAAAATTTGAATGTATTTGTTTTTATTGCTTATGTTACATCAGGTGAAAGACAACAAATTGTTTGAAGAATGGCTAGCCAAACTGAGACACCATCGTCTTTACCGACAACACGAAATATCCTATGGGACGAAAGAGTCACCTCGTCTGACAGAGATTACCTCCCCTACAGAAGAGTTGCCTCCCCTGAGAAGTGGGTGTCTTTTTAGCAATGACTTATATTTCAGTTCTGAAGACCAGAATTTATGGAACTTCTCTGAAAGTATGAAACTATCTTTTTGGTTAACTTGGTGATTCAAACGTAACTAACAAATCAACAAATTCAGTTTTTGCAGCAATTTGCTAGTTGCTTATAGCAACACATAGTGTCATAGCTGTAACCCCTTTACAAGGATAACACTTTCAGTGGATAATATTTATGAATAAATAAATATTTATTTAGATTTTTTTTTATCTTTAAATTTTTGTTTTTATTTATAGCAGCAAATTTACCAGAGAAGACACTGACCTTGAATTTGAAGAAAGATGTTATTCGGCAGACAAGTTTCAACAAAGGGCTAGCAGGGACAGGTCAAGGTCGGGTCGCAGCCTGGGTGCTGGACACTGCAGGTTTTGAACAATGCAATAAAGGTATGTAACATAGTGTGTTTCAGAAGTGATATGTGCTCATAGGTGGCCCTGTTGTCAAATAAAGTGCAGTTAGTTGTGCAGGGGTACATTCCTAGGCTCTTTGGAAACTGATTGCCAGGCTCAAATCTAGATCCAACCTAATTTTTTCGATTTCTGTCAGTAACATACCTATGCGTGTCTGTTTTACCAAAATGAAAATGTTTAAGACCTGCATCAATTTAGGCTTTCTTCAGGTATCAACCTGAATCTTACTGAAATAACGGAATTACCATTCTAAACAGTGTCAAACCCCATGCACTCATTCCTGTATTTAAATTCCTGTCTGGGGGTACCTGAAAAAAAATCTCACAGATTGTTGTTGACGTCAGTGTTATATGTGTCCAAAGGGAGATAACTCCTAGATAATATCCTTTGCAATATTGCATTCAAATCTATCTTAGTGATTTAAATCATGTTCTCTTTTAATGTTTGTGATATTGTTGCACCACTAGGCATTAAAATTATTGATATCTGTCTATTCAACACACAGTTAAACTTTTATATGATCCTGGTATTACCTCCCCTACAGAAGAGTTGCCTCCCTGAGAAGTGGGTGTCTTTTTAGCAATGACTTATATTTCAGTTCTGAAGACCAGAATTTATGGAACTTCTCTGAAAGTATGAAACTATCTTTTTGGTTAACTTGGTGATTCAAACGTAACTGACAAATCAACAAATTCAGTTTTTGCAGCAATTTGCTAGTTGCTTATAGCAACACATAGTGTCATAGCTGTAACCTTTTACAAGGATAACACTTTCAGTGGATAATATTTATGAATAAATAAATATTTATTTAGATATTTTTTTTATCTTTAAATTTTTGTTTTTATTTATAGCAGCAAATTTACCAGAGAAGACACTGACCTTGAATTTGAAGAAAGATGTTATTCGGCAGACAAGTTTCAACAAAGGGCTAGCAGGGACAGGTCAAGGTCGGGTCGCAGCCTGGGTGCTGGACACTGCAGGTTTTGAACAATGCAATAAAGGTATGTAACATAGTGTGTTTCAGAAGTGATATGTGCTCATAGGTGGCCCTGTTGTCAAATAAAGTGCAGTTAGTTGTGCAGGGGTACATTCCTAGGCTCTTTGGAAACTGATTGCCAGGCTCAAATCTAGATCCAACCTAATTTTTTCGATTTCTGTCAGTAACATACCTATGCGTGTCTGTTTTACCAAAATGAAAATGTTTAAGACCTGCATCAATTTAGGCTTTCTTCAGGTATCAACCTGAATCTTACTGAAATAACGGAATTACCATTCTAAACAGTGTCAAACCCCATGCACTCATTCCTGTATTTAAATTCCTGTCTGGGGGTACCTGAAAAAAAATCTCACAGATTGTTGTTGACGTCAGTGTTATATGTGTCCAAAGGGAGATAACTCCTAGATAATATCCTTTGCAATATTGCATTCAAATCTATCTTAGTGATTTAAAATCATGTTCTCTTTTAATGTTTGTGATATTGTTGCACCACTAGGCATTAAAATTATTGATATCTGTCTATTCAACACACAGTTAAACTTTTTATATGATCCTGGTTGAGGTGGGGTCAATTCAATGAAACAGGATGTATTTACAATAGAAATTGTCGTGTGCGGCAAATGATAAAACATTTTATGCATGAAGGAAAAATAACAAACAAACATGTATAATTTGTCAGTATTTTGTATATTATTTTTATGATTATTTGTTGTAAATATTCAAACATTTCTAACTAATATCCAACCATTGTTACGTTCAGTACATTTTGTTAAAGAACTCTTATAATTAAATGTATAACAAACATCCAAACAGGAACATTTATCAAATTGAACAAAGTATTATTTGGTACTTTCACACCTATAGCAGACCTGTTTCGGACATATTTTAATGTCTGTTTCTATCTTCTTTCATTATGTTGGACACTTCAGGTCTGAGCGATGCCCAGAAAGACCTGTTTGATCTCCAGGAGCTGCTGGATCAGATCCAGAATCTTCCACTGTCCTCAGATCCAGCTATTGACGTATGTCTATTTCAGTTTCAGGGTGTTGATTTCATTATGTGTATGTCCCTGAAGTTCTGCTTGTGTGAGCTGTGTATTTCATATGTTGTGAATTGCATAATACTTCTTTAATACCTTTTCCTGAATGAAAAAGTACTGGCACTTTTGATGTGGTTTTCTTCCCATTGTTATTGTGATTACTGTATTAAATCTCATATTTTGATTGTTTGAAGTAATCTTAATCAAGGTATTTTCCCATATATCTGTAATTGTATAGTTCTGTTTGTAGAGAAAGGAACATGATGTAAAAATATGTTGCCTTTCAAAGTGAATCTTAATATTAATTTCATATCTGTGATGGTAAATGATTTACTAGGGAGGTACGTGCTTCGAGGAATTTTGAAAGAAGTCAATAGTGACAGTAGATAGATGATTTATTGCAACATTTTACCTAATTCTGGTTAACAGAATGAAAAACAACAGTGCTTTTTATTTAAATAAAAACATTTTATATTTTGATGTTTGGGAGTTGGGAGATTTGTATGCAAAGTTATAATAAATGTTTGGACTCTTGTAATATTTTGAAATCTTTAGTTAATGAAAAAAAGGATGAGAAAAGTTCTCTTTAAGTGCCATTTATAACATTTTTATGTCTAGGGTTTGTGTACACTAGCCCCTGTATCCATTCTTGTAGGTGTTTAAAAATTTCAAATTTCCAGCTATAGATTTTCATTATCCAGTTGGATTTGCTTTGCTACCTATGCTAAAAGACTGATCAAAATATAAGTTTCCAACCAGCTTCAATGTAGAGTTGGCAGTATCAATATCATGGAAGTCAGTACCACTGATTACAATAGAGTTTGCAAGAAATTCAAGAATGAAAAGCTGACTGACATGAAAAAGAAAGCCCAAAGAAATCTGTTTGATTTTATGGATATGTCTATCATAACTAAAGATGGCTTTGGTTTCAATGCGGTATTATTTACCTCCTTTACCAACTCCCTTTTTCCTTGTCTGAACATTTGATTGGTTGGTAACATGGTTAGCTAAGTGAAGGGCAGATAATTTGAGATTTTGAGAACTATAACAATGGATCCAGGGCTTAGTACAACTTTACCAAATCACAAGCCCTGGAGATACCGAGGTCCTTTTTAATGTTGAGAATATAAATATTACTGAAGACTGATATGTAAGTATGTAGCTCAAGCATGGACATATTTTGCTACCATAAATTCAAGTGTAATATATTTTTATTTTCATTATATTAAAATGTTGTTCTCCAGGCTACCTGAAACAACACTGTTGTTCAATATCGGTGTTGTATATTCGTTGTTCACTATGCAAACACTTACACCACAACAACATTTTTGTTTCGCCATCACTCGATTCCTTCACAAATCATTTATAGAAAAAATTAGTTATAAAAACTTTTAGACTAGATCTGAAATTTAGAAAGTTGAGTTTAAGATATTTCACAATTTGAAATAGTCCAAATAGTTTTAATATGAATGTCAATATCTTGAGGATTTGAATAGTGATTTCTTTGTCTTTTAGTGGAGTATTTTGTAGCCTAGCTGTATGCATGATCCCCAAACTATTAACATTCTTTGCATGGAGGTTATTGAAAGTTTTAGAAAAGGCATGAAAATGTTTGGCTTCCATATTAGTTTCTATGGCTATATTGTGTGACTTTGTATGACTTATTAATGCATGAGGCTATTGGGTTAGGATTGTATTTGTGGTATGGCAAACATGCAATGTTTGTGGTAAAATGACAGTGTGATTTTTATTTTATTTTACACTCATGTCATCGTGTTTAAGCAGTATGACTGTGTGTCAGAAATGGTGTGGGTTGATAGTAAGTTGTAGGATGGCCAAGTTGTGTGAGGTGTCACGGGGTGGTGGGGTAGCCTTGTAGTTAAAGCATTTGCTTGTCATGCCAAAGACCCAGTTCGATTCTCCAGATGGCTACAAAGTGTGAAGCCTTTTTCTTGTGTCCTCTGTGTCAAAATATATTCACTCACTCTAAGGTGTTACAGCACTTTGTACACAGTTTTGTTTCTTGCTGTGCCAGTATTTTCTGGTTGTGGTTTGAATCCAAGATTTTCCAAATTATGGTCCTTGCTATGTCAAGTGTATTGTCTTCTCAAGCATTATAAATTGACATGACTTAAGACAATCTCAAATATTAAACACAAAAATGGCCGAAATTGATAACCTACAAAAGTTTAAGTTCAATATGGACTGAACTTTTTGTATGAATCATGGGTAGAAACTGGTTATCTGACCATCGTTATGGAAACGTACATTCTCTAAGGTTACTTATTATTGCATCACAATTGTTGGGGGCGGTGGGGTAGCCTAGTGGGTGAAGCGTTGGCTCGTCACCCGAAGACCCGGGTTCGATTCCCCACTTGGGTACAATGTGTGAAGCCCATTTCTGGTGTCCCCCGCCGTGATGTTGCTGGAATATAGCTAAAAGCGGAGTAAAACCAAACTCACTCACTCACAATTGTTGATATTACGCCATCACATTGGTCAGTGACTATTTATTGGTGATTTTATTGCACAAATGTGATGTGATCACTTGCATGTATGCTGTATGCTGAGATGTTCAAGTCACATGCAATTATTTCAGACACTTCACTTTTTTAAAAATCACAAAATTAAAATTGCATTTGACTTGAATTGGTCTTGATTATTCCATTGTGACCTTCAAATTGTGAATTAGTTCCAGTGGTTGATGGTATTTGAAATAATAATAATAACTGAAAATCATTAAAATATCATGCATGCATTTTGTCATGACATGTGTTATCCCGCACACGTTTTCTTATAGTGAATAACATCTCCCAGACCTTTTCAACAGGAGGAATTAATTCACTGGAACACCCACCACTACTAACACAGCATATATCCGTTTTCTTTTGCTTTGTTGTCTATAGTTCTCCGAACTTGAATCTAGTGAGAAAAAGAAATCCAGAAGAAGTCTTGGTATTCGCAGCTCTAAGAAAAAAGATAGAAAAATCGGTAGTCCAACCATTTTAATGGACCCCGTAAGTCTTTTACAGTGGTATATTTGGCTAATGAGTGTGCTATTGGCTATGGTTTTAATGTTGTGTTTATTTTCCTTGCTTAGTTTTTAAATAGTTGTTACCAAAATTAAAACAAAATGGGTAAGGTGTTATAATGTAAATATCTCCTGAAAATGATCAAAGTGATTTTGAAAATTTGTTTACTTTGTCCTGTTTTCTTTCAGGTATTTTCATTAGATATCTTTTGATTTGAATTTTTTTATTTCAGTGAAATCGTGGTTTCAAATACCTTATTATCCTGATATATTCTTTCCAAAAATTATTTCATTTATGCATACTACAGTATCTATATTCAGCCTTTTGCATATCTATTATTAATAATATCTATAGTTACGATCAAATCTATAAAGCTTTTATCTATTTCACAATGCCTTTTATTATCAAGCAAATATTCTGTGCTTTTGTATTTACTGTTAGACCTTTATCTATAAGTTATATTTAATCTTTAAGAATGAAAAATTATAATTTCTTAGTCAAAACAATGTTAAATACGATCTTTGGGTCGTTTACAGAACACACCAACTTTATTAAATGTCCCGCCTGAACGCCTCCATTCAAGTGCATCCAACCCTAACCTGCTGAACCACTTTGGGGCACGCCCCCTGAGTCTCCCTGATAACATCCTGTCTTCAACCCACGAGGAGCGTATCCAGGAAATCAAACTACGGGAGAACTTTATCTCAAAAGCAGAACAAGGTGAGGCCAAGTAAAGCTTGTTTTCAGGAAACATGTATTTCAGGTGAAAAAGATCATTCTTATTTTGAAAGGAACATTTCACTGAAAATATGAGGCTGGCATGCCAGTTATACTGATAAAACCATGGACGACATTGATAACTGGCGGTTACAAGTTTCACAGGGCAATACAAAAGAAGTCTATATTAAGGGTTGACTTTATTTCCATTGCAGAACTCTTCTATTGTTGACTAATCGTTCATCAAACTTGGTGTGCACAAGCTTTGGGGGACAGAGTTAAGAGTCACTAAAATGTTAATCAAACTTGGTATGCACAAGCTTGGGGGACAGAGTTAAGAGTCACTAAAATGTTAATCAAACTTGGTATGCACAAGCTTTGGGGGACAGAGTTAAGAGTCACTAAAATGTTAATCAAACTTGGTATGCACAAGCTTGGCTTTGGAACACTAAAATGTTAATCAAACTTGGTATGAGCTTGGGGGACAGAGTTAAGAGTCACTAAAATGTTAATCAAACTTGGTATGCATTGGGGGACAGAGTTAAGAGTCACTAAAATGTTAATCTTGGTATGCACAAGCTTTGGGGACAGAGACACACTAAAATGTTAATCAAACTTGGTATGCACAAGCTTGTGGGAACAGAGTTGAGAGTCACTAAAATGTTAATCAAACATGATATGCACAAGCTTGGGGGAACAGAGTTGAGAGTCACTAATATGATAAAATCACTGGAAAGTATTGCAAAAATTAAGAGTAGGTGAGAGAATATTGTCTTATGCCACTTTTGTGACAAGGGACACAAGAAAGGCTTCACACATTACATACGTGCAGGGATTCAAACCTGGGACCTTGGCAAGATGAGCAAACACTTAACCCACTGGCTTCTTCCACTCAAAGAGAAAAGAGATGTAGTCTTATCATGAAGATTTAGTTCTGTCAGCATCAGTCATAATGTCAGTTGTATTCACAAGCTTTAAGATTATATAATATGATTGTAATTTGTTGTTGATTTTATAACCATATTTAAAAGGATGGTTAAGATCAACGACTCAGCATCTTGTCTAGTTTTCTGTTGAGAGTGATCTCCCTTTGTGGTTTGTGACCTTGACCTTTAAGTCAAGATGGCCTGTTTTCTCCTTCAGTCCACAAACAGCTGAAATGTCTGCTCCACATGATGAGCACCGAGAGGGAGAGACTGAAGCAGACCGTGGAGAAAGATTCCAGTTCCGCCAGCCAGTCCTCCAACACCATCACTACTCTGAAACAGTCGATAGCAGAGGTAAGACATTTAGCACCCCCACTCTACTTTGTTGTACCTTGAAGATAACTTGTATAGAGTAGCTTCTAACCTGTGCTCAGCTCTGAGCCAGTGATGGAATATGATTGTAAGCTGCGTTAGCATTTTGGCTGATATTTGTGTTAAGACAAACCTTCAATTGAACACAACACAATCATTGAACACAATATGAACACAATCCTGATTGAAAATTTTCTGCACACATTTTAAAAAATCACAGAATCTGTCAACACTTCAGAGGACAAAGTGTCATAAGGCCATTTTGGGGCCTCTGAAATATCAAATGTTAATGTTTCCTCAAACTTGTGGCTGTTAGAGAACATGTTTATATAATCGAGAATTCTTTCTGACACTACTTGTGCCAGATCTGGATTTTTTTGCATCATTCATAAGTTTTCCTATTGCTTAAATTATGATTATTATCCTTAAATCTGACAATGGTGTTTCAGTGTACCAAGTTTATGTGTTCTCCTGACATTGTGATCTTACATTCTGCTTCTTTGTAGACATTCTGTTCTTTCCTCAAACTTTGTGTGTCAAATTTGCACTGTATGTCTATGCAATGGGCTTTAGTGAGTGATCTCCCCTGTTAATGTGCGACCTTCACCCTGACAGGCTCACCGCCAAAATGCTGAGTTACGAGGAAAGCTTCTTCGTATACACAACGAAGCAAATCTGACTGATTTTCCACAAACCACAACATCGCCGCTTCCCTCCCCACACCTAGACAGGGTAATATCCAACTTCTGTTCTGTATTAGATGACCTTCACCTTGGTGTGTCTGTTTCCACTGTTCTGTAACCAAAATGTCATTGATTTGTTAAACAAGGCTTTCTATCTGTTCAATAGAATAGATTTGAACAAAATTTCCCTTTTCCATGTTCTTTGTGTGTTGTATGTAATCCTATGCTACAACTTGCCCCCCTTGTTCCAGGACACTCCCCCTCACCAGCTGGGCCAGTCCCTGTCTGTGGACAGTTTCTCCAATGTCCGAGTACTATGACGCTGAAGAAATAATTGAGACTCTCAGTGACTCATCATCAGAGGTACATACTGCAGGCCAACTGAAGTCTCATCAAATCACATAACTATTAATAATATTAGAATTAAAAAATATGGAATACATTAGAAGGCATTAGATTATTTAATCATGTATAATGTATATTGACTTCCATTTATAGACGTATGAATGTAAAAACCATTTGTACATTCTGTAAGTAAGTATAGCTTATTTACTCAAAGTGTGCATCACAAAATGACTGAAATACAGCCGATGTTACTTTAAACTGAACTCATTCAGTCACAAGTGTGCACAATAATTGTAGTTATTTTTATTAATAAATGGGGCAACTGTAATAACTTTACAGAACACTTATTTGAGCATCAGCCCAATATAACTGTTGACAACAGTACAAATCAGTAGCATTTTTCAGTGCAATAATGTTTCATTATACCTGGTGAATTTATTATCAGTGCAACAGGTAACAGCAGTTTGTTGGTATGTATGGCCATATAGTGCTGTGGAATCGCTTACGGTTTATTCATTATAGAATAATACAAGTCATCGAAATGACTTGGAAGTGAGTGGGATCTGTTCCTTTGCTTGCATACATAATAGGCTTCTGAGTCATATCATCATCATACTACCATGCTATGATTGTAGCAAGAGCTACTTGTATGAGGATCTGTGGCTGCAATGTGTGATAGCTGTACTACTGCTGGCTTGTCTGTCTTCAGGCCATAGCACCACACATGTAATACTCTGACTGAAACGCAGTACGTTTATTCCAGTGGATTTTGAATGATAATCCACTGATATACGAAACATTGAATGAATACCGATAGACAAATTCTTGTGGAAAAAAACAAATGATTTCACACTTATATATGTATTTGCAGCAATCAGAAGACGAAGAAGAAGTGTCGAGTGAGGTTTCAGAGGAAGGGGAGACAGATGGAACACCTATTACGAGCAGTAAGGAAAATAGTATCTTAGTATTTATCACACATATATCAGGGGCTCCCATATTTATATTCCAATAATGATCCTTATTCGAGTTCTGGGGTACAGTTGGTCGTCTGTAGCTAATGTTTGGCTAATTTGTGTTCCGTAATTTGGCGGAAGGCTAAAGGTTTGCCTCATCTGAACTCAGGTATTTCAGCCATCACCATGATGTGAATATCCCTATGCAAGCATCAAACAACATTTACCTCATCCTCCCTGCTTACATTATTATTTTCATATATTTGTATAACTTTCTTTTCATTATGATTATGGCTACTGCCTCATATCTGATAAATTGTAAAATCATCGAGATTTCAGAATTTGGTATTATCACTTCATTTGTAGCAAAGTTTTAGAATTTCTCAGTTTCTTGTATTAATGTCTTCTGCTGCAGCTGCTGAGGAGGTGCTTCCGTCAATGTTCCCCACGGGACGCAGATCTAAGCTACCAGTCCCCAAACCAGACACGGGGGACATCAGCCTGTGGAACCTTCTGTACAAGAACATCGGGAAAGACCTCACCAAGATCTCCATGCCTGTCACTCTCAACGAGCCACTCAGTTCTCTGCAGGTCAGACACCTACACAGATGATGATGATGATGATGATGATGATGATGATGATGATGATGATGATTGATGGTGATGATTGATGATGATGATGATGAATTTCAAATTCTTGCATCAGTGCCAGAAATCCTGTCATCATTTGCTAAAATCTTTTGACTTTCAACAGTTCTCCTCACTGTCATATATATCCATAACCAGTTGGGATACTAATAGTATCTCCCTTCCTAAACCATTCCTGAACCCTTCTGAGTTATCATGGTCCCTGGGTTCCGCACTTGGATGGGCTGGTTATTTCTAAAATGGTATTGATTAGATTAAACCAGGTGATTATTTAACACAGATAGGTCATATGGAATACTTTGTATGATGTAATTACTGAAATCAACCAATGAGCAAGTGCTCTCACTAAGTACATGTACTTACGAGTCTATGTGTGATGTGTTGGTTACTTTGCTGATGTGTGTTTGTGTGTTTTAGTCCGCCGGTTTGTGTGTTTCAGCGTCTGTGTGAGGAGCTGGAATACTCCGAGCTGCTGGACAAGGTTGTGGAGTACGACGACCCGTATGAACGGATGGTGAGTCCCATTATATTTTATCTTGCCTCACACATAAATGTTGTTTTCTGATTGGCTGAACGCTCTTCTATTATTTTCAATGTACCCCGCTTACAAGCGAGTAACATTTTCTATGTACCCCGCTGGGAATGGCGAACTCATTTGGTACTTCGTCGTAGTAATTCTTTATCTCGAATAACATTGAATCACGTATGATGTACGGAAATTACCGATGTTTTGCGAATGCAAATCGATGATAGGGAGATAACTCTAAATTTGTTCTTCTTGTCGTCTGGTACTCCATTCTATGATCCGATACCCGTACTTCAGACAGTTCAAAATTACCATTGAGGTGTTCGGTATGATAAATACGTTGTTCACTGATCCCTCGGGCCCATGGGTTGATGTACCCTTGATGTTTCTTTATGTTCAAACAAACATCGAGAGTACATCAGCCCATGCCCCCCTCGTGACCTGTGAACATCTTTTAGTGTCTACTAAAGCAGCTCCAAGAGCCAACCATTCCTCCAGTGCCCCCTGGATGTTCATGCTCCACTTTCCTTTATTCCAGATCTACGTGGCAGCGTTTGCAGTGTCCTGCTATGCCAGCTCGTACTACCGCGCAGGTCACAAGCCCTTCAACCCCCTCCTAGGAGAGACCTACGAGTGCATCAGGGAGGACCGAGGATGGAGGTTTATAGCTGAACAGGTGAGCTGTCAGTCGAGGATCACCCTGAGGGGTCAGAGGCTGGACCAAGGGGTGAAAGAGGGTGTGCGCAGACTGGAAAGGGGTGTGCTGTGTGATGAGTGAGTGAGTTTAGTTGGGGCTCTTAGCAACATCATGGTGGGGGACACCAGAAATGGGCTTCACACATTGTACCCCTGTGGGGAATCGAACCCGGGTCTTCGGCGTGATGAGCCAACACTGGCTACCCCACCGCCCCCCCCCAGACAGAATCTGATGAGACCTTACCAATGTTTCTGATTGTTAACAATTTGAGTTAGACCAACACTGAGTCACTGACATTAGCTAGAAACAAATTATTCCATGTTCATATAATAGACATATTGAAACTGTGTGCTGTAAGGTTGTTTTGTTGTATACAGGTCAGCCATCATCCCCCTATATCAGCCTGCTACTGTGACTCCCGGAACTTCACCTTCTGGCAAGGTACGTTGAGCAGCTTCTTCTTGTCACTCATTAGTAAGAATTTCCTAATTGGGCCAGTAAAATATTTACACCCCAATAAATTATTGTTACATCTTCATCCCTGCTTCATCCTTGTGAAGAACCCTGTCTCACCTCCTCGTATTCTGCCGAAATTCATGCAAATGCTTCTCTACAAATGTCCTAATGAAATTATTATAGTGTTGTCAGGCATGCTAACAATAAACCATTGACAGATTACAGAGTACATGTATTTGTTTGTTGTCCATTTTGCACACATTACTTGCAGTACAGTGCTTATAATTCCATACATGTGTCCATGTAGGGAAGAGTGAGTGAGTTTAGTTTTACGCCAATTTTAGTAGTATTCCAGCAATATCATGATGGGGACACCAGAAAAGGGCTTCACACATTGTACCCATGTGGGGAATCTAACCAGGGTCTTAAACCACAATGCTTAAGTTAATAATTATATCTTGCTAACAAACCCTCACAGAGTTTTGCTATATATATGTACTTTAAGTTAATGCAGTATCTTAAGCTCAGTACTCATACCTAACTCCACAGAGTTTGGCTATTATTATGTAGCTTAGCTAATTATGTTAAAGCACAGTACTATCCTACATATATAAAATATATTAGCTAACAAATCCCTACAGAGTTTTTACATTATATATATGCTTATTCATATCTTAAGCTCAGCATTATATCTATATCATATAAGAGTATATTAACCAACAAACTCTAAAAGAGCTTCTATTACATAATTAGCTTAAGTTTAATCACATCTTAAGCTTAGTACCATGTTATATCTTAAAGTATTTTAGCTAACAAACTCAAGGAGTTTTATACTAAGATATTAACAAGCTTAAGTCTATTAGTCTTAAGCATTGTATTAATGTTATATATACTTTTATCATAATAAGTACATGAAGTAATAACCTTTTTATATGGCAGCTGATAAGTTTTATCAGTTCAGTGCTCCTTTTATGAAGTTCCCATAGGAGTCTTAAACCACTTATCCTGACTCATGAGGGTCAGCCTCCCATCCCTCCCCAAAATAACACTTTGGATTTCCCCTGTAAATTCAAATGTTGCCTATAGCAGGAGAGTGTGAGGCACATGGGTAGATGGCTACTCAAGGCTTCTCCACTGCCCCCATGTTGGGAAGACACTTGTCAAAACGTGTATCACATCAATATAGAACAAACTTTATGGATCATCAGTCAACATCAGTCAACAATTCATCATGCATTTGCCTCCCACAGTTGTTTATAGACATAAAAAATAAACACAACAATTATTTATTTCAGATGTTCGGATCAAAACCAAATTCTGGGGCAAGTCCATGGAGATACAACCTATCGGATATGTCAATGTTTATCTTCCAAAGTAGGTGACAGACTCAAACTTGTCTTTACATGATGCCCTAATAGATTCTTTATTTGTGATTAAACACTATGGATATCGAGTGTCTGAAAGAGCTTTATGCTTGGGCATTTTGTTAAGGGAATACAGTGCATTTAAGCAATTACTGTTTAGGAATTATATCATGTTAATAGTTGTTATGATGAAAGTAGTATCTTTTTATCTAATCCATTTTTGATTGTTTACATTTGATTTTTTTTGGCTCTGCCTTAGTTTCATGAGATCAAAACAACTGACCTTGACCTTGTTGCAGGTATGGAGACCACTACAAATGGAACAAGGTGACCACGTGTGTCCACAACCTGCTGGTAAGTGTCACAACCTGCTGGTCGGTCAGCGCTGGGTGGACCAGTATGGAGAGATGACCATCACCAATGGTGGCATCACCTGTAAACTTACATTCACCAAGGTAAGTGTCACAATCATTACATGTATACTTACATTCACCAAGGTAAGTGTCACAATCATTACATGTAAACACATTCACTCATTACATGTATACTTACATTCACCAAGGTAGGTGTCACAATCTTCACTTGTAAACTTACATTCACCAAGTTAAGTGTCACAATCATCACCTGTAAACTTACATTCACCAAGGTAGGTGTCACAATCTTCACCTGTAAACTTACATTCACCAAGGTAAGTGTCACAATCATCACCTGTAAACTTACATTCACTAAGGTAAGTGTCACAATCATCACCTGTAAACTTACATTCACCAAGGTAGGTGTCACAATCATCACCTGTAAACTTACATTCACTAAGGTAAGTGTCACAATCATCACCTGTAAACTCACCTTTACGAGGTTCACTTCATTTAACCAAACTCAATCACAATTTATCCTGAATATCTCTGTTGCAGGCCAGCCACTGGTCGTCCAACAAGTACGAGGTGTATGGGAGCATTCTGAACCCTGAGGGGAATGTGGTGCATAATCTGTTTGGCAAGTGGAATGAGGCTTTCTTCTGCGGCCATGCATCGTCAGCCAGGTGTATATGGAGGCCAGGTGAGCAAACTGCATCAGGTCGTTCTTTGACGATCCTGAACACAGTATTCCTGTGTATCTCATCGGAAGGGCCAAGTAAAATGAAAATCATGCCATTGCAATACATGACCTGTGTCAACATACCCCACTGAAGAAGATTGATGCTCATGCTATTAACCACTGGTTGTGACCCAACCTGACAAGGTTGTTACTCCTGACTGAGTTAGTGTGTTTTCTAACCCAGAACTCGGCAGTAGCCCTGCTTGATGACAGTGGTCTGTAAATACTGACATATGGAGCATTCATCTTAGCACTTGGGAATATGACTCGCATATTTTACTGACTCTTTTAGATGTATTCACAGAGTGTTACAACTAAGTATTGCCTTAAGCATTCTTCAAAACGATTGAGTTTGAGATGTCAGCCATTTATGTCAATAACATATCTGTATATCAATGCATATAAGATAAGATAAAATAAGATAAGACAAGATAATTTCTTATTTTATCCCAAGGGAAGTTTGTTTTGCATCATGTATACATCTCCAGTCTTACATTCCTAAAGCAGCTATGTATAACATTACAAATCATAAAACTATTTGTATAAGATAATCAGAAAATAAATACATCAATTAAGGAGCTGATAATGTGAAATGAATATACACCAGGCCTTGGACAGGAAGTGATTGTATGCTTTCAGCATTTGTTAGGTATTTGTGCTACATGTGAATATTTCTGTATTATTTTGAAACCTGTAACTGATGTTGTTCCAGGGGCCATGCCTGAGGACTATGAGCTTTACTATGGCTTTTCAAGATTTGCCATTGAACTGAATGAGCTGGACGAAGAACAGGCACGCTTCCTGCCACCCACAGACAGCAGGTTCCGTCGAGATCAGCGGTAGGTGCAAGTAGTCACCAGCTCCTTCCTAGCATATGACACCTTCCTTAGATTCCTGGTAGAACCATGCCATTCATGAGCAAGCAACCATCTCAAGAATCTTGAAACTCCAAAGACCAAATATCTACACTCCAAATATCATGATATTGATATTGTTGCGTATTTCTTTTGGAATGTCATTGTAGGAGACTGAAAAAACATACTACAGGCTAAATATTTCACTAAGCTAATTACAACATAGTTAAAAAGAAACAGACATACAGATCGGAGACAAACAAACAAAATAATTTAGCTGAGGAAAGAGTACTTGATTCCAACTTGTTTGTAAGCATAACGGTTGGGCAGGGGGTGGGGGTGGGGTGGGCAAGGAGCTCTGCAAATGGTTGTCACTGTGAGGAGCTTGATGTACTCAAGGGAGACAACTCTTTCTTGTTTGTCAAAATGTCTGCAAGCAGTCTGTAAGGTATCTATAAGGGCACCACGTCATCAGACTCTAGTTGAAGTAAAGATAGTTTGGCCATGTCATAGAACTTTGAGAGTGTTTGTGAGTGTCAGCAGGAAATGTGAAACTTCACAATTGTGGTTTTCTGTCCTCAGACTGTTGGAAGAAGGCAAGGTGCAGGAGGCGGAGGCAGATAAACATCGCCTGGAGCAGAACCAGCGAGAACGTCGGAAGAAAGAAGCAGATGTCACGTGTCAGTGGTTCAGGTGAGAGGTCATCCTCATTCTGTTACCATTGTGGACACAGCTATTTGAAGAATCGAGGAAATTTCCTCTCAAACCAGAACTGAAGAGGGCCTTATGTTTTTTGTGTTACCATTTACCATTTCCCAGATGAATTCATGTTTTGGTTGGACATTCAGAAAAATAATGAATTGTTGCCCCTTGCAATAAGCTGTCACAAATATATGTCTTAGCCTACTCCCTTAGACTATGTATTAAATGGTTCATCTGACAAACTTATACATTATACCTATACACCTATACTTTACATAATTTTTACTACTACTACTACTACTACTACTACTACTACTACTACTACTACTACTACTGTGGTTAGAGTGTCTGCCTGGAGAGCCAAAAGATGTTAAAACATGGTACTTGTTGGTCCCTGCCTGGCGCTTGGCATTAATGGGTACAACAAGGACTGGTCGGCTCAGAGTCAGTATAATGTGTCTGAGTGGGGTATTCATGCTTAACTGCGGCATGGTATCTCAGTAAGCTCGCACTATAAAACCAGCTTAATTCTTGGCTTGTACAAGCAGCCACACGTACACACCCCTGCACGTCATCATATGAGCGAAATATTCTCAAATATGATGTTAAACCCCATTTCACCTCACCTCACTACTACTGGGCGGTGGGGTAGCTTAGTGGTTAAGGCGTTTCGATTCCCCACATGGGCACTATGTGTGAAGCTCATTTCTGGTGTCCCCCTCCGTGATATTGCTGGAATATTGCTAAAAGTGGCGTAAAACCATACTCACTCACTCACTCACTCACTCACTCACTCACTCACTCACTCACTCACTCACTCACTCACTCACTCACTCACTCACTCACTCACTCACTCACTCACTCACTCACTCACTCACTCACTCGATCACTCGATCACTGGATGGGGTAGCCAAGTGGTTAAGCCATGCCAAAGACCCAGGTTTAATTCCCCATGTGGGTACAATGGGTGATGCCCATTTCCGTCATTTTCTGGGAATATGGCTAAAGGAGCTTAATCTTATTCACTGCTTTCAACTTGTTAACTGTTCACAGCAAGAAAACAGCAGATGTGTCATTTTAGTAACACCAAATATTTTTTGTTGACAGCAAAAAAGATGAGAGTGGAAAGGAGCTGTACGAATTCAATGGCAAATACTGGAACATGAGGAAGGATCCTGGGTTTGCCAAAATGTCTTTCATGAAATTATGGTGAAGAGAATGTAAACCTCATCACGAGTTTATGATTGTACAGACTTTGCCAACATCAAAGTGCCAATGCTATCTGTGCACCTGTGAAGAGAATAAACCAAAATTGTGACAGGGTCGATACATTATTACGTGTGACATCCTACAGAATATTTCCGATGTAATTCCTTCCAGAATCTGCCAAAACATGGCTGAACTGTGTGAAGTGTGTGGAATGAATGAGAATTGTGGAGTGTTGTCAGATGTAATGGTGTTGTAATCTTAACACTTTTTATGGGAAATCATAGAGGAAGCCTGTGAGAGTAATTTATGAACTCACAAGGTTATTTGGAACGGAGGAAACGTATCAGCTGATGTCAGTGGGAAAAAGATCATATGGTTTATTTTCAGACCTAAAAATAGTTTAATTAGAATTACATTTTATAGTTAACATACAATTTGCTTCAGGCATCTTGCACAAAGCGATATTAGTGTTACGATTATTGTAAGCTAAGCGTAAGCATGGTAGTTACGTTTATTTTCAGACCTAAAAATAGTTTAATTAGAATTACATTTTATAGTTAACATACAATTTGCTTCAGGCATCTTGCACAAAGCGATATTAGTGTTACGATTATTGTAAGCTAAGCGTAAGCATGGTAGTTACGATCACCTTACGGCAAAGATGGATTTCTGCAAGGGCCAATCATATTGCTAGACCAAACTTTTTTATGGCAGTTGTAAAGTAATTGACAGTCATGCAGCAATACCTTTGTGCAAATGGGCCCAAAACAGTTATCTTGTAAAAATACTCCTAACAGTATAGCATAGTATGATCCTTGCATTTAATTAACCCACAGCAGAAACCACTGAAGTCAAATAATTTGATTTCAATGAAACAATTTCCCTCAGCAAAAGTGAGACATGCTTCTAACCCAAAATGTTTTAAATCTATATCTTATTGTAAATATTAATGTGTTGTAAATATGCTTTTATTGTAAATATCTTGAGATATTTGTGCAGATGTATCCTGCTTTCTATGCAGTTTTAGTGAGCTTATATTTGAGTGTCAAATTTTAAGATGTCTACATTTTGTCTATACTGTATGTTTGTAGTCCTCTCACCTTTACCATTCAAATATTGTATCAACCTGATTGATATTTTACATTTGGATTGTTCTTCAGTTTCGAAGGTTTGGATTGCTAAGATTGTTTCAGTCAAGTGATAAGGATTGTGTGTGATATGTAGATTGTTTAAGTGAAATTTTAAGCACTGAACATTTCATCTTTGAAGAAATCAGTAATTTATACAAGCTTCCTCCCTTAAAGCCTGATTCCCCTTTTACAATATAAAAGCCATGCCTATTGTATTAATATGTTATTTATATATACAATGTATTTACTTGGCAAGAAAGTAAACAAATATGAAGTTGTTGATAACTTTCCTCAGAAATGACAATGGAATATACTATTGAGAAATGTATTCTTTGCCAATGAATGCTTTTTAATGAAAAAAGGTTTTTAATAATTATCAAATATATTTTGGATAATTAAATTTTCTTAAAATAAAATAAATAATAAAGATTATTACAATTTGTGGAAAATACATAATGTCCAAAATTCTGTGTTGGTTTTGAAAATAGATTGTTTGATGATGCTCAGTAAATAATTAGTTTGTTGATCATAATTTAAAAATTTCTTTAAAAATTCCACCAACCCCTACAATTCAAATGGATGCTCCCTAATGCTAAATCCAAAGAGAATGCACATAGTGGAGAGGATATGGTACATGTTAGTTGGCACGTGTAATAATACATTAAGGAGACATTTAGTGCAGCTCATAGTACTAGTCATGCATGAAATCAACATGCTATGTACGCATGTTCATATCAGTCTGTCCATCACAAACATTGATATTCATAGGGTATTGTGCGGCAATGTACCTATTGAACTGTCGTCCAGTTTTATTATCTTTATTCAGGTGAGAGACATCGATAAACAATAGGTTGTGTCAGTTTTATATCAACCAGTTTGAATTTCAAATATTTTAAATTATATATATATAGCTTCATTTTCATCCATTTTCTGACAGGATTTCTGTTATGCAAGTAGATTTATTTCAACCTGCTAATGTTTCCAAGCAATGTGTGTATTCAGGGCTTTTAGAATTATAGATGTGGTTTAGAAGAGAATGAATGAAGGCATGGAAAGGATGTTCTATAGATGTTCTATTTGTTTTATTGTAAAAATGCATGTATGTCTGATTATTGGATATTTGGAATGAATGGGGTGTTATATGACCCTAATTTACCTATAATCTGGTTCTTTAATCTGCCAAATATGTGTGGAGAAACAGTAATATTGGATGTTTGTTTCGCTGCCAATGTATATGTAAACCTGTCAATCATCATTTGAACCTTTTACTGCCCCCTTGTGTTTGATAAGCATTTACATTATTAGCTGTATACATGTTTGGGGCCTAGTGTAGAAAGTCAGGTTGGGTGATTATGCATTTTGTAAATAATTTTGTAAATATGGATTGGCTCTCTCTTGAATATTGGCATCTTATGCTTACAAATAGATATTCAGTCGAACATGGAGGTAGTGGATTTATTAAGAATATTAATACTTTGTTATTTGGATGTCTTCAAGAAGAATATTATCTCATTGGTAAAAGGGGCGGTTGGGTGGCCTAGTGGTTAAAGCGTTTGCTTGTCATGCAAAAGACCTGGGTTCGATTCCCTCATAGGTACAATGTGTAAAGTAAATTTCTGCAGTCCCCTGCCGTGATATTGCTGGAATATTGCTAAAAATGGCATGAAAACTAAATTCACTCACTCACTCATTGGTAAAAGCCCATTCCAGGATTTAACACACCCTATTAATATTTTGGGTTGGTTCACATGGGTTTGAACCCAGATAAGCGTTACATTGAATGTAATTTAACATTCAAAATTGAAGACCAGCATCACTAAATGGTTTGTTCTGTATCCAGGTAAAGGCGTCATGTATTTATTCCAAGCTCACACCCTGTATTATGGCTGAAATATTGTCTGATATGGCATCAAACCCAATGTCACTCACTTACATATTAGAGCTTTTCATGGAGTGGAGGGGCAGTGGGGTAGCCCAGTGGATAAAGCGTTCGCTCGTCATGCTGAAGACCCGGGTCCGATTCCCCACATGGGTACAATGTGTGACACCCATTTCTGGTGTGCCCCCGTGATATTGCTGGACTATTGCTAAAAGCACTCACTCACTCACTCATGGAATGTAACATCTTAGACAGGTGGTGGATATTTATAAAACATCATATTCATAGAAGGACACATTCACATTTATCTTATCTAAGTTTCACGAAACTGACCTCATCGTAAAATGAGCATATCACTCGGACGTGTCAATCTGTATGTTTTAAGAGCACTTTGAGTCTTTGAACTGGAGAGAATCATACAATGTTTTATGTCTTAAGGGATCTTTGATGCATTTATCTTATCAGCTGTGTCCATCAACTATGTTTTTATGTGATTTTGTGGGTTTTAATAAATCATGGCTTCTTAAGTTCAAATACAGAAAAACCGATACAGCTGATAATCAAAGTATATAGTCTTTTGAATTTTTTAGTTTTCTTAGTTAATCTATCTACATCCTTTTGATATTAAACATTTTTAATTTCTTAAAATACTCTGTTCTGATTGGTCACACTGAGGTTTCATGTAACTTGCCATTGAAGTAAACAGCCAAATTGCAGTGTATGTAATATCACAGTGTGTTTAATGATTTAACTAAGCTCTCTAAACTGCCTTGGCAAACTTTGAATGAAACTTAGGCAAGTTTGATAAAGAAATGTAAGTGGGATTGATGTGTCAAATGTTATGGGTGAGAACCAGTCATTCACTATGTGATGTTAGCATGATATATGCAGATCTGCCTTATGTAGAACCAGGCATAGAGCATTATATCCTTGATAGTGAGTACACCTTCGTGTATTTACAGTATTATAGGTGTACACGTACTGTAGTGTATATACTCTTGTCTTGCAGTGTACTGGAAACTGACAGACACAGTTTGACCCGATATTAAGATGGTGGTGTGATATAGAGACTAATCTTCAAGACACCAGTGAATTCACCTTAGGGAAGTCATAGTTACCTCCCCTTGTTCTAAGAGTTATCTCCCTTGAGCTTGTGTTTGGTGGATGCGGTGCTAATGTGTGAAGCCAGATCACTTTCAGATTTAATGTTGAATGTGTGAAAGGAAAGGAAATGAAGGTAGTGGGTATAATACACATGCTTAATAGGATGTAAAGATGTTTTTATACTTAGTAGAAGGGACTCAAAGGGAACATGAAAATGAATTTTTGATCTCCTTTGTTGCTACTGATAAAACTAGAGAGTGTACCTGCCAGCCTATTCTTCACAATAGATCAATGACAAAAACCTTTTTTGTGAAACCTCCAGTTCTTGTTTGTCATTAAGTTTTTTTTCTGAAAATATTGGGAAATTTGTTCTATTGACCTAGTCCTTTTCTCACATTAATATGGATTTCTTGGTAGATTTGCTGTAAAATTGTGCATTAAAAATGATCAAAAGATACTTACTGATAAGGGTTCACGACTCTGACTGTACATACTGCAAGCCTTTAGTTGTGAGTGTTCCAGTATACTGCCTATGTGAACTGCCCAAAAGGGGAACAGCTGTGTGATAAAGACCGTATGCATGGGCCTCCATTCCACTTTGTCTATTGAATATACAACCGTGTCGGTCCAGGTGTGTTTATCTCACATTAATACTGCTGTGATTATCTTTGAACTTTCACTTTCTTGAACTTTTCCAGCACTGGTATTAGTGAATATAGTGTATCTTGACATGATTTGTTTTTGTAAAACAAATTAAAAATTGTGATACATTTTTTTGTAAAAAAGGTGTGGACGAACAAGTTGACATATTTAGATTCACATTATAGTTATTAGGTATAGGTTATCAGTTGTAATCATAAATCAGAACCTACTTGAATTTGGAAAAAAAGAATATTTTCCACACAACTGTTTTTAATAGTGTTTTCAATTTACATTCGTGAGATTAGATGTAAATGATTTACTAATGTTGAACAATTTTGTACACTTTTTAATTCAGAATCACCCGCTTCTCGCTAGTGGGAGGAGACAGCTCTAACAAATAGCTACACACTGTGTCAGTTCAATGAAACAGAACCTTGATTTTGGAAAAGAATATTTTCCACACAACTAATTTTGGATATCTGAAGTCTGGAAGACTGGAGTCTCACCAAAGGTGAAGGGCCTAAGAATCTGAGAGAAATACTATTATGTGTTAGAAACAGAAATATGAAAGATGTTTAAAATATATTTGGGAGAATTTCAAAACAAAATGGTAAAATCGTAGTTTTGAATCACTTTAAACTGAGGCCTTGGGTCATAGCAGTGAATCAAATGCTTAGCAGCTTTAGTTGTAGTTTCATTCAGAATGGCTTGGATCTGTATTTGTAAATATTGTACAGATTATGAAATTATTCATTTGGAAGCTTTTGCTAATGTGATAGGTCTGAGTCTAGGCTCCGGGCTGTTTTTACGGGAAAGTGAGTTACTGTTATTCTTTCCTTGATCAAAAACACCGGCCGTGTTGTTTTGCAGTTACCTCCCTTTATTTACTTCAGAGTTGACATGTGTGCTTAACGTGCTCTGTGCTGAGTTGGATGGAGTTCTTCCATTTCAGAATTTATTATTAGTGTTGTTTGAAAATGTTTTATATGATTTATTTATGATTTGAATGTGCAAAATTAGTTCAGATTATTTTTTTATCATATATTTGGAATTATTTTTAACAATATGTTCGTATGACTAGCAGTATAATGGAGTTGTTTCATCAAAATTGATTTCAGATACTGGTGTTTTCAAAGTTCAATACAACTACTTCTAATGTTACTTTGTCTCTTAAGGAAGCACTTGAGCGATAATCACTGCATACCTGGAAAAATGTGCATTAATGCATGGATGCATGCATATTCAAAGGTTTGGAGCTACCTCACATTTTCAGAACACAGAACACAATCTAATATTGCTCTTTATGAAAAAATAATGAATTTTATGATCCAGCCTGTTCAAAAGTTTGCATAATTTTGTTAACTTCATGTAAATTGTTTATTTATTCAGGGCCATGTTTTCATGTGTTTACAGGAAATGTCCACAAAGTGATTCTGTTGATTTTTTAGCTTTGGACACTTTTCATAGACATTTTATTACTGAAAGAAATTGAACATGGAAGTCAAAATATTGTATTTGAACAAACATTTAAAATATCTTGTTGATACCTGTACAGATTTTGTCATTTTCTGTAGCAACATTCCCAGCTCTTTTACTTATGTTGATATATCCCCTATAGTTTGTTGATTAATGCATATTATCATGAATATGTCTTAGAGGTCGGAAAGATGATCAATGCATATCTGATGACTTTCAACAGATTCATTTACATATTTTATTCCTCTTCCACACCCTTTTCCTTCTCTCTATCTTTGCTTATAGATAAAAAAAATATGTTTGATTTCATGAAGAGGCTAGTACTGTTGGATTAAGTTAAACTTTGACCTGCATTATACAGACAACTATATTGAATATTGCTTGTTATCTTATGATGTAATATATTTATTTTAAGCTGATTATAAACATTTATCATTATTTTAAGATCAAATATGCATAAAGTGTGTTTTAACCTTACAAGCACATGTGATTATTTATCAAATATAGATTTGAAATGTTTTTTAAAACAAATGACACTGGTTTTATGCTTAATAGTTATGAATAGGAAAGACACATGTTGACTCTTTGTGCCTGTGGTTGGTGTGAAGGCTTGGAGTTGTCATTCTATGAGTCAGTTTGTTGGAAAATGTTTTTAAACATGCATCTCTGATTTCCATGTATTGAATTATTGGGCAGAGTTATGTTGAGTACTAACCGCTATCATTATGCTAATTACATATCATTTAACAGTACTAGCTATAGAAAGGATGAGGTGTATCATTTAATTTCTCAGAATGTCAAATAGATTTACAGCAATAAAAAAACTTTATCATCTTATTTGTTCTCTCTTGAATCATAGCATGAGTATATTTATTCATCAGGAGGGTTTAAGCTTTGGGAGTGGGTGATCATGGTTTCATGCCGCTTTTGGCACTGTTTCAGCAATATCACGGTGGGGGACACCATAAATGGGCTTCACATATTGTTCCCATGTCGGGAATCGAACCTGAGTCTTCAGCATGACAAGCGAACACTTTAACCATTAGGCTACCCCACCACCCCCAAGCTTGTGGGAGGAGAGCCAAGAGTGAGGCCTCCTTGAGTGAGTATTGTTTTATGCCACTTGTACCAATATTCCATGCTGGGGGACACCAAAAAGACTCCCTGCCCATGTAAGAAATCAAACCCAGGCCATTGGCATGACGAGCAAACGTTGTAACCACAAGTCTACCCCACGCCCCTAGTAAAGTTTCTGTTGAGTACCAGGTCGATGAAAGGCATGACTACAGATAAACTACCAACAGACATTGTGAGTGTGAATCTGGGATTCAAACCAAAGGTACATGAATGACATCTAGTCAACAGAACCTAGGGTCAGAAGCTCACCTTTTAAGACTTTGTAATACTAAGAGAACCTGTTCATTTGCCTGCTGCAGGTTAATGAAGTCAACACATTCTGAAGAGAATTTGACCTGTTTGAGATTGTTTTGTTTGTTGTTTAACGAGGTACTCAGCAATATTCCAGCTATATGGCAGCAGTCTGTGAATAATCGAGTCTGGACCAGACAATCCAGTGATGAACATCAACATCTATGCAACTGGGATACGATGACATATGTCAACCAAGTCAGCGTGCCTGAGGCTCTTATGACAAGCATGGGTTGCTGAAGGTCTGTTCCAACCCGATCTTCCCAGTTCTCTTTGAGATGGACTGAAGCTTACCATGACACTGATTGTATAATATACACCAGAAATTGTAACTATTTCTCCTCATTCAGTTGGCTCTTTCAGCAGAGGGACCGCCTCCGTGGTGTAGTGGTTAGAGCGTCCGCCTGGAGAGCGGAAGGTCGCGGGTTCGATCCCCGACCGCGTTATACCAAAAGTTGTTTAAATATGGTACTTGTTGGTCCCTGTCTGGCGCTCGGCATTAATGGGTACAACAAGGACTGGTCGGCTCGGAGTCAGTATAATGTGTCTGAGTGGGGTATTCATGCTTCACTGCGGCATGGTATCTCAATGGGCTAGCACTATAAAACCAGCTTAAGTCTGGGCTAGTACAAGCAGCCGCACATACACATACACACGCATGCACGTCGTCATATGAGTGAAATATTCTCATACACGACGTTAAACCCAATTTCACCTCACCTCACCTTTCAGCTGACATACATTGCAGACCGCGGATGAGGGATTACTTTACTTACTCTGATGTCTCCAGCTGAGATGAGGAAATCCAGATTTGGCTATGGCAAAGAAAAAACAAAATCATTTCCCTCTCATGTTTCGTAGCTACCATTGTGAAAATAAGCCCGGGCTTACACATGATTTTTTCTTAAACATTTTTTCTATTCTTGCCAAAACTACCTACAAACACCTTATCAGAACAATTTAAAAAATGGCAATCCCTCTATATCCCTCTATAAATCATGTTGATAACAAAGCATTACCAATACAGTCACCATGTACAGTAAACATGTTATTCTTCACATCGTAAATTTAAAAGGTGTCTTTCTTTCAGTCATGAGGGGCGGTGGGGTAGCCTGGTGGTTAAAGCGTCCGCTCGTCATGCCGAAGTCCCGGGTTCGAATCCCCAAAAGGGCACAATGTGTGAAGCCCCCTTCTGGTGTCCCCCGCCGTGATATTGCTGGAATATTGCTGAAAGCGGCGTAAAACCATACTCACTCACTCTTTCAGTCATGATTGTTTTCCATCGACACGTATGTGAATGTTTTGTTACAGTCTTGATTATATGTGAATCAACCTATAGGGCTTGCACGAAAAAAACTGGCTTGCTACGCTCCTGCCTCTAGACAGATATTCCGCAATTCCCAGTGTCCATAGACTATTCAGATAATCCGTAATTTCCGTAAAACATATATAGAGGAGTGTTTGGTATCTCATTGGTGGTTGTCCTACAACGAGCGTGTGTATGAGTGTAGTGCACACACGGGGTATCGTGTCAAACATCTAGTTACTGACCGCCATTACCAGACTAATGGCGACATGTTCTGATACGTGTAGCTACCCAGTTAAACTGACAGGTTTCAAATCAGCCTCCAAGGTTGGTCACTCATTTTGCCACCAACTGACTGTCTGACTGACTGAGTTTGGTTTTACGCCGCTTTTAGCAATATTCCAGCAACATCACGGCGGCCATTTTGCCACCAACAACACAGACCGTATTCTGGATGTCTTAACCATGTCCGTTTCCATGGTGATTGCCATTTTACTGCAGTCTGGAACTGGAATTATTGGTATTACATATCTACGCTGTTTGAACGTAGCATTTTCACGAAATTCTGAGTTAACCATGTAGCTGATTTCATGAAAATTACTAAGCTCTTTATGGGTAATTCAATTTTATTTCCGAAAGCAATTCATATACACTCGTCACACCCGGGACGAGTTAATTAATTCGTCTTGTAACAAACTAAGTTACATACAAGTATATACCTCGGCATCAGGACCTAAAGTTACTCCTTTATAACATGGGTAGGACTTGGCTACTGGTATGCGTAACTAGACTGCAGTGTCTGACGCCAAATGAGAACCATGAACTGCAAAATAACTCAAAATCGGGAATAGTTTCGTAAATGTCAATACGGTACAATAAATACCCTGTAACGAATATTATCTGCTGTTTGGAATTTTTTTACCCATCACTGGGAAAAGTTGTTCATAAAACTATGGTGTACAGCAGCTATTGTTAAGTACAGGGTATTCTCCAACCCCCGCGTACAATGTGTGAAACCCATTTCTGTGTCCCCCGCCGTGATATTGCTGGAATATTGCTAAAAGCGGCGTAAAACCCCACTCACTCAATCCCCAGCCTACTAAAGAGCATGGTAGTTGGTCATGCCGGTCTGCTTTGTTTGGCGTAAAGTAACAATTTCTCTGTTTCTCTGTCACAGAAGGGTAATACTACTTGCCTGAAATGACGTGGAACTGACTGACTGACTGACTGACTGAGTTTGCTTTTACGCCGCTTCTAGCAATATTCCAGCAACATCACGGCGGGGGACACCAGAAATGGGCTTCACACATTGTGCCCATGTGGGGATTCGAACCCGGGTCTTCGGCGTGACGAGCCAACGCTTTAACCATTAGGCTACCCGATCGCCCCCTTTGGTGAAGACGTTGTGGAGACTAAGGGCGTGTTGCTACCGCAAATCAAAGGCAGGGTACTGCAGTCTTAAGCGTTCAAACCAATCACACACGTCAATTTCCCAACATCACATATAATACGTGTTTATTTGTGAATGGCATTCTTTAGTTTACACATGACTATTGTTTCCTTACACAGTACAGAACTTTAATGAAATGGTGAAGTATTATATCTGTACTTACCTCAAATTAGGAAACCCGTGAAGATCCAGATTAGAATTGGTCTTCAGTAAACCATGCGTATCCTAAGAGGCGACTAACAGGATCGGGTGGTCAGGCTCGCTGACTTGCAATTGTATGACACATGTCATCGTATCACAATTGCGTAGATAGATGCTCATGCTGGTGATCACTGGATTGTCTGGTCCAGACTCTATTATTTACAGATCGCCGTCATGTGGAAGGAATATTGCTGAGTGCGGCGTTAAACAACAACCAACCAACAAACCTGAAATTAGGAAGTTACTGTCGCCATAGCTAGCAACACAAAGAACACAGGCCCCATCAACTTATCAGAACTATAAAACGCACGACCAGTGACGTTGGTTAGAGTGACAAGATAAGGATGTACATGTTTCAAATCAAAACAGCTTTCAGGTGTGGAGTGGAACGTCAACACCGTTATGAACCATCACGTTAATGAGGTATTCACGAGGTACCGCTGTATGACATCATTTCTAGTGATAGTGTAGTCAGTGGAAGGCAGACAGGCAGGACGTCACTCATCAGCTATGTTGTCTCGAGTTAAAGAGGATTTGGACTGGAAGACGAAAGTGACTAAAATCTGGAGTGATTTCTTTAATAACACGACCCTTCATGGTTGTAAGTCTGTCTACAATGCACAGAAACGATTGCTAAGGTAAGAAGACTGGTTAAAGAACAGAGGACAGGTAGACTGGTATGTTGGTCGAGCCAAAACGTAGGGTTCGGACGGACGTTGGTGGATGGAGCTGTTCTGGTTGAAAAGTGTGAGAGAGTTAATTAGGTGAACTCTACATCAAAATGTACCTCAATGACGCCACACCAAGTTATATAATTGTGTCGAGATTTATGTTCCAGCTGTTATGAGTCAGTGATTATGGTTTTACGCCGCTTTTAGCACTATTTCAACAATGTCACGGCGGGGAACACCAGAAATGGACTTCACACATTGTACCCATGTGGGGAATCGAACCCGGATCTTCGGCGTGACGGGCGAACGCTTTAACATCTAGGCTACCCTTCCGCCCCTGGTTGAAGAGAGGGTTGGAAAGGACAAATCAAATTCATAAACAAACCCTGTTGATAATGAAAGGTGACTGTCGTCTTTCAGATCTATAAAGATGAAAAGGGCTTAAAAGTCGAATTAATGATTTTACACTTAAATAGCAACGTGCATGCACATGGATGAGTGACTGCTTGTATACGGTCGGAACCCGTGAAGATCCGGGTTAGAATTGATCTTCAGTAACCCATGCTTCCCAATTGCGTAGATCGATGCTCATGCTGTTAATCACTGGATTGTCTGGTCCGGACTCCATTATTTACAGATCGCCGCAATAAAGCTTGAATATTGCTGGGTGCGGCGTAAAACTAAACTCACTCACTGTATACGTTCGGAGTAATGCAGGTTTTATACAGCCAGGACACGTTTAACCGAGCCGAAAGGTATTGTTTCATCCTCTTTATCCCGA